TGAGTGCTGGAAAAATGCACTTTTTTCTCGCCCTTTGCCCGCGGGAGGTGCACACTTACTTATATCCAAACGAGGGGAGTGAAAACGTCGAGAGTAGCGCCCCAAAGAGAGGTCATCTCTAAATACCGTACAACGACCGGCTTTTTTTGCTCGTCAAAGATACAGTGATGAGCAAACGAAAGCAAATAAAAGCAAACGGCGTCGATTCTTTTTTTCATCCACGCGCAGCTGAATCACATGTATACAATTTTACCGCGTGAGCTGATTAGCGATCGCGCGTGTGGCGTTTTTCGTGTTTAAAGACGCAATGCGCAGATTCGACGGAACAGAGACGATTACCGAAAAGTTGGTACGTCGCGTCATTTGCGTTCCATTGGCTGGGACTTTTGGACGTATTGGTATATACCCGTGACAAGTTATTCTGTCTCGACGATTAATGGCTCGGTCCAAAAGTTTCTTGGCAGCGAGTCCGAATCGGCGCTCTTTCTCATTTTATTGGGTGTAATGATGTCTTTCACCGGGGCTGTGCAGATGGTACATAAAATCATTCCAAGCAAATTTGTAGGAACCGAGAGTATGTCCCGTCAGTTTTATCGAGTTTTACTTGCGGTGGTACTGCAAAGTGCGATTGGCACTTTTTTTTAAAGTTTTTACAGTCCATCGATCGGATATCGGCTGAAAATTTATGAAAGTTCAAATTTAAATGATACGCGTATCAAATGCTTGTAAAATATAAATATTGTGTGTAATTTTAATTAATTAGCTGTAACTATTATAATTTTGATTGAAATTAATGTCAATGTGACAAGTTAGCGAATGAAAATAATCTTCACTTGAGAAATAACGAAAAAGTTGGGCACTCCCAATTTATTGATCCATCAAAAAAATATTTACGCGCCAAACTGAAAATAAATATTGATCTTGAGCATAGAGTTTCTTTCCTTGTAAACGCGTTTTTCAGAACCCGCTTATAATCTTCCTATTTCATGCCTGAAACGATAACCAAATGGTCCGGGGGTGAGTATGAAAATTTACTATTCACAGTTGTACAACGCAATTTCCTTCCTAAATTTACTAGAAACTCCGTAAAAATGACAAAAATATGAACAATAGGGAGTAAAAATGCTACATTCGTTCCGTATCATTTAATGATCTATATGTACCGTGGAACAAAACACGGTTCCGAGTTCAAAATTCCTACGAGCCAACCATACACTTTCCGGGGATTCTCCAGTATCCTAACTATCACGTGACTCAGGGGATTCCCCGGTATTGTTTCGACTTTTATCCGGTAAACGTGAGGTTCTAAACACGAGTGTTGAAACTCTGACTCACATTTATCACTGACATCATATGAAGCATGTATAGTTATATGTATCATTGCACTCAACGACTTTTTAAATTTGAATTAAAATAAAAGAAGATATTGTACACAGTAAGTATTTCGTTTGAGCAAAATCATACACAACAGCATCCAGATAAAAAGCGCTGCATTGGATCATCCGCATGCAGATATTTCGATGAATGAAATAAGATTTCCGATACTGGTCATGTAAATCTCTGCACAACTTCGACTCACACGTCGTAAGACTACAAACCCATTCACTCACGGTAACATAACCATTTTCTCTCGAAAAAACTACCTCTAATTTCCGGCTCCACATAACTCTGAGGAACATTTCACATACGTTTGTAGTTTAATAAAAAGGGCTTAGCCTTAATTGAAAAGCACTTATTAACTCGGTATTAAATATACGGTACACGTATCCCCACACGCGTGGAATACCTCGAGACTTTGCGCATATGCGTCAAAACCAAAGGTGGGAACTTCCATGCAGGAGCAGGAAATTTTTCCTCGTTCCGCAAACAGGTAAGTACAGTACGACATCTCGAAGCGATTCTCGACCTCAGATAAGACGGGAATGTGAGCTCTTGTGGCTCTTTTTTTGAGCGCGGTACACACAACACTCGAGAATAAAGGGGAAAAATTAAGTTTTATTTCTACGTTTCCACATAGCTGGGGATGCGACTAATTGGATGGTTTTTATTTTCGCGGAATTAATAAGACGTGAAAAAGCAGCAATGTAGAGCTGTGATATGTTCATTACTTTACCGTCAATGAAGTTATGTTCCAGAGTAGTATAGAGTAGTTTTTTTTTTGTAGATAGGACGTTTGGATACTTACAAGCCAGTGTGTTCTGCTCTTATAAAATGTATGTGCTGCAATTGGCGAGTTACGAGGTACTAATAATCCAATTTTATTGAGCTTTCGCGTGAGCTTTGATTTTGACGAGTTGCAAGCACGTGGATAGGTTTTATCGCGTTTTTTCAGTTTCGATCCACATGTACGAGGTACGCCAAGTGAGAACATGACAATGTGAAAAATCGAAGATAAAAACTTTTACTTCACCACCTCAAAACGTAACGAAGCGATTTAATGTAACGAGGTACTATTTCCAAAAACAGGAAAGTGGAAAAAAAAGTCAGAAGAGCCAAAAAATTGAAGATGAAATGATCTAAAGGCACACATACGTACTCGAGTATCTTTAAAAAGGTCTGCGAGTCAATAGCGAACGAGCAAGTGCCTCGTTTGAGGGGCTCTTTTGTAAATATATAGGTGCACGAAAATCTCTTTCTGGACATGTGTCTTTTTTTTCCTTCATCCCTTCGTCGTTTGCCGACTTCATCGAGGTAGAATGAGAAATTGGTTCAACAGAAGCAGACAGTGCTTTTTTAAAACGCCGCCCCCTTCTTCTCAACCACCTCTTCCACGTTGCTCTTTTGTCGCTTCAACGAGCCACGTGCTTATATTCACTTTTATTCCGCATGATCGCGTTATCTGCTCCGCGTGTGCTATGAACGGGGTAAGTCTTGCAAGGATTTCCGTGATGAATCGACCGCAAAATTCAATTGGATGGTTTTTTCGAATTACTTCAACAAAATGCATAAGCTTTCCGTCTTTCCACGATTGTGATTGTTGCTTATGGGTGTTTTGAGTTTGTTTATTCAAGGTTTTTTCTTTTTTTTTTTAATTTCCACCATTCATTGTTACTGCAATTTTTTTCTTTTTATTTCAAGGAGAACGAATAATTGTACTGGATTTTATGAAAGTTGTAACAAAGGTATGCACTTACGGCTCAAGGAAGGGGAAAGAAAACTTTTATTTTTTAATATAAACTTGCAGAGGAATCACTGCTGTTTTAATGAAGGGAGGAAAAAATTGTAAAGACACATTGTAATGTTCCGAGTTTTTATATTGTTCCTACTTTAATTAAAAAAGGTTTTTTTTTCGGGCCATCCCTTACGAATTTACGTTACGAAGCAACGTCTCAACCAATTTAAAAAATGCATTTTCATAAAACTGTTTATTGAACTGTGCGAATCAGCCAACTTTACACGTGGAAGATTCGTTTTAAACTTTATCAAATTCACATCGACAACTTACCCCATCATTCAACGTTTTATTTTTTAATACTCTAGCGTAGTACCCAAAAACAAAAAAAAAAAAAAAACAAAAAAAAGAAAAACATACATTTCTACAACCTCCGCTAAAACTGACAACAACAACAAAAACAGCCAAGTCTCCCCAAACGCATGCACGGCTTAACCGCAGCGCGCGTGGGATCAAACGGCACATTCCGTCCAAGGAAGGCAAAGGCGGGGGCCGGCGCGTCGAGGGAGGTACAGGGTCAAACTAGGCGCGCGCCGCAGCGGCATTTACCGGCCGCTAAACCGCGTTTTACCATACACCGTAAAATTTTAATTATCCCCCGTGCACACTCGCTCGCCCCTGCGCCGAGATTTCCTCGCGTGCCCCGTTACTCCTACTACTCGTGCATATGCACACTCCCCAGTGGCCCACCCCCGTGTTAGCGACGCGGGGTGAAAAATTATCGCGGCACGCACGCGACACTATTATCGTTGGAAATGCTCCCCTTTTATTTTTTTTTCACCACTCGCGTGTACCCCACTGGAGGGTGCATTTATTACTCGCGCACGAAGTGCGGGTAAACACTTGTACGAGCCGACCGCCGCGCCGAGCCAAGTATTTCTCAAAAATACGTATACGTAGGTACCTTGCTTTTTTTCTCGCTCGCGTCCATAATACATACACACGTAATAAATGAGTGGGCGCGGTGGTTTTAATGAGTTTTTTTTTTTTTTTTTTCAAAAAAGGCCGTGCTTCGCGTAAAATCACAGGGCGAGGGGAGGAAGCGCCTCGACTTGGTTGCGCGACGGCTTTAATTAACCCCTTCTTCTTTTTTTTTTTTTTTTTCCTCTTCCTTTCCTGTCTTTGGCAGTTTTTTGTACAGCGACGCGGACGAAAAGACCGCAGTGTCGATAAGCCGAGCGTGTGCAGAAGCGAGGGTGGAATTAATACATGCATATGTACGCCACTGGAGGTATATAATTGCAACCTCACGGTGTATATGCTTACGTGGATGGCAATTGAATGTTACCCGCGTGAGCGTGACACGGTAGTCGTCGTCGGACGTGGAACTATACTCGCTTGTCCGATGGTTGAGATTAAAAGGCGGTCGTTTGCTTGTTGATAGGTTTATCGGTGCATATTTTTTTTTTTTTTTTTTTTTTTTTTTTTTTTTTTCTAGGGGAGGGGTGTTAAATTATATCCTATAAATTGTTCTCATTCCAACTGTTCACACTGACAGAGGCAATTACAAGATAAAAATCATTACACTGTAATACCACGAATCAGTCCACGTTCAGGCACATGTATAAAGTTATCTTTGAAAGTTGAACATCGAAATTTCGTTTTCAATAAATATACAGAGATTTTGTGCAATGTAACTATATTTCTTTGACAAGTAAAAAAATAAAAAATACACCGAATTTGTAGAAAAAAGATTATGTTGTAGCACACTAAGGATTAAAAAAAAAAAAAAGGCAGCACGTAGCAATGGGCCATCGGTATGATGTACGCGATATATGTGTACAGTTACGTATTTGGTGTAAACAAAAGCAAATGATAACGAGCTTACCATCGATGACGACCTCCTCATGGCCGGAGGGGCAGTCGATCTCGCACTTGCCGTTGAAGGGCTTGTAGGGATTGGAACGCTTGTCGGAGACGATCTCGCGGGGTTTTCTGATCATGCGGCACTGCTGGGCCGTCACGCATCGCCGGCTCAGATACATGTACATGCCCTCCGGGCACTTGTTAACGCAGTAATTCTCGTTGACCATCACGTCCCGGCAAACGGTGCAATTGAACGCGGTGTCGCCGTTGCAGCCACCCAGACACGACTCGTGGCAGCACTCACCGCTCGGGGTGCACGTGCGATCACCGCACTTGCTGCATACTGCAAAAATGGCCATACATTGTAATATTTGGCAAAATATTAGTTATTACGGCTGGTGGGGGTAGTGGCTTACTTTTTTGGCATTTCATTTGGTTCCAGCACAGTCTCTCGTCGGGCTTCGTTGGCCTCTCCGGGCAGCTCTTGTCGCAAACCGGACACTCGTTCGACGGTTTGTTCGTCTGTTTTGGGACATAAAATACGTTGTTGGATGATTCAACACAAGATCATGTTTGATGACTCATCCGGCACATAGCCATCGCAAATGGTAGCTGGGATAAAAAGTATAGCGAGCGAGTGGCGTACGAAAGGAAAAGAGGTATTTCTCGAGCTCGTATCGTTGGTGTCTTTGTTGGTCTTGGGTCCCGATTTTCAGTAAAAATTACCATTGTAACTTTGAAAATTCATACCAGTACGTATTTTTCGACATTACTTTCATTACTAATCGTTTCGCTCGCCATGCGAGAGGTAAACAAAAAGCTAGTGAAGTTGCCAACCGTTGATTCGCATAAGAGATCGGTAACAAGTTTTACCGATTTTCGTGACAGAACTGCTTTTTCCATACAAAAAATGTTTCTATAAAAATAAAAAAAAACTTCTGATATACACATAACACCTGTATTTACCGCCATACGTTTGATTTCTACTACCCCCTAACACAGGTAAACTGTTAATAAGTTCTCGCTCGCACTTTCCCGATAGTGTACGTATAATATATTGTGGCTGTCTAACATGACAGATTTCTCTCCAAACGTGCATGTATACAAGTGGAAAGTATTACAACGCGTTGCATCTGTAGGGCGGTAAGTACAGCAGGCTTGATTTAACCGCGGGCGGGCGTAGAGGCGTTTACGAGCTCGTTTAATGTTGCGTGTCACCCTTGTCTTCGCCTCACCTTTTTCGCGGCCTACAGGTGTAATTTGCAATCGTAAATCCATACTGAGCGCACGCGCCGTGCATTGGCAATTTTGTTCCTTTAGATGTAGCGAACCATCATATGTTTTTTTTTCAAAAATAGTTCATTGAAGAGTATAGGGTTGTTGTTGTTGTTGTTGTTGTCTTGTGTCCAAAATACCATGTGATCTAGGACATACAAGCGGTTCATATGTTTTACCCACGAGAATTAGCTGCGCGAGAAAATTAGTCGATAATACCCCCGAGCTACCCGTTTTTCTGTATATATTGTTGGAGGTACACGTGCTCACGACTGTTTACCTCAATCCCACCTGATATTATCATTTATGTTTTTTTTTTTTTCCTCAAAGCGTATCGGCGTAAAGTAGAGCACGTTCGAAGATAGGACGCCTCTCCTCTCCTCTCTCTCCATCTCTTTTTTTCTTTTTTATTTCACGTGCGCGCAGCTATTAAGCCACTTTGTATTAAAATATGCGCGCGTATGGCGAAACAGTATTTTAATGACATATATATGTTAGGGGCGGAAGGGAGGACGACCACGTGCGCGTATTTTTTATAGCTCAGCATTTTTTTTCCTTTGCTCGTTCGGTGCGGGGTAGGTGCGATCGTTTACGACTTTCAATTTCAAGACTGAGCTATGCGAGAGAGAGAGAGAGAGAGAGAGAGAGGGGGTACAGGAACTTTGTGGTTTATTTTTACAAGTTACTGCGTCAAAACGATTGAAGGAGGAACTGCTATTATTATTATTATTATTATTATTATTATTTTTTTTTTTTTTTCACAACTGAGGATGTAAGAGCAAAGTGCGAAACCACATTGAAAGAAAGACAAAAAAATGAAAGTAAGTACCGTCGCCAATCACGCGCGTGTCCGAAAGTTCGAGACTTTTTTTTATGCTTCGATCGAAGCTCGAACGCGCAAATAGAGCGCTTATCTAATCAGCCGTGCAAAACGAAAATAAGATAAGAAGAGGCACGAGAGATGACGCGGGCTACCATATTTATGTATATATATATATATA